TTAGATCATTCCGTGCCCAGTTCTTGCGCTCCTGTACGCCTGTGATGAGGACTTCCAAGTACTGCGTCTCAAGTCCCGTCATGGTCATTGCACCTCTAATGAAGCACCACATCAGGTCTGCGAACCCTTGCCTTTCGTTGATGTTGGTCGGGACGGCGTCATGGAATGAGAAGTAGTGGGAGCTAGAAGATGATGGGAGGAAGTGTCAATCTGCTGATCTGCCAATTGCTTCAAAAGCATATAGAATGTGGGTGTATGTCCAGCACTTACTACGAGTGAATGATCGACATGATGTAGCGCGCGACAGGATCCCCCATGCTCTCCTCTGCAATCGCATCATTCACGCTGTCGTAGTGGCTATTCGCAAATATGCGCTCAAGGACATCTGTCAAAGTGGGCCAATGCTCGTGAAGGTTGCTAACGGGATCCACCCTACTTGCAGCTCTACCAACGTTTGGAGCCAGACTCCTCCTGAATTTTGAGTTGATGGTCATATCAGCTATGCCATCGCGCGCAAGCGAAAAGTCCTGTAGGTTTTGCGCTCTGAACTCCCGGAACTTTCGAACAAGATCTTCTTCCTCTACAATCCACTTCACCTCTTGATTCAGCGCCACGAACTGCTCGAGATTGGCAGTGGGATCTGTCAATGAGCAGAAAAGAATGGAAAACCTTGTGAGTTGTTGCTGGTCAATACTGTGCGCAGACTGCACAATTTTCTCTACATCGCGTGAGTACCTGGAAATTCAAGCTCTTCTGCGGTAATGGTTTCTCAACTACTTGTACTGGTGGCTCTGCTGTTGTCATGGTTCTCCGAGTCCTTGGTCGGATCCTTGATGTGCTTGCAGCTGTTGACGCTGGCTTCACCGTCCACTGGCCGTGGTGTTCCCTATATGTTGGGGTCAGACCTGGAGAGTTACTACATAGTTTCTCAATCCATAATACCGGTCGCAGCCACTGTCAAGAAGATATTATACGTACAGAGTTCATTCTTCCTCGCTTTCCTGCTCTGGCATCCGATCGCACCTGAACATCGTCCAATTCAGCTTCTGTGAGTGTGGATTTGGGACTTGATGCAGGCTTGCCTGTGTCCAGGAAAGGGTTCTTCGGATTATAGAATTCTAGAAAATAAGCATGAAGCAATGAGTTAGAGCTTTTATATAACGTAAATTAGCCTAGCAGGCATCAAGGGCCGGTGCTTTGCCGCCCCGAAATGTACTCACCCGCGTTAAGACGTGTTTTCGGCGATGACTCGTCCAGTTCGCCCGAGGGATTACAGGGATGCATACCGCGACTACCTACTTGTGCAACAGGCGAAGACTGGGACAGAGAAGTATAGAACGGGGACGAGAGTTGAAGCAGTGATGATTGATGTTATTATTATGATACAACTAAATATATATACAAAGTCACCAACTAGGTTTCTAGGTGTAGTGTCATACAAAGTCAGAGGTGACAGAGGGTGACAAGGAATGACTAACTAGAGAGCAATAGTAAACCTAATATGTTGCAACTTGCCACATCATAGCATGGATGCAGGTGTTATCATCTACTACTCATACATCAAACATGGACGCCTTAAATCACAACAATGCAACTTGCCTGCCGTAACCTCCTCGCCTTCCGGAACGCCGGATGATTGGTTCTCTGTACGATCACCTGAATCGTTTGGCTGAATTGTTGGCAGTGCGGCGGCGGTTGATGTCGAGCCCTCCCAAATCATCTCCTTGGCCACAGGAACACTACCAGCAACCAACTCGCTGGCTGTTCGTGTTTTTGATATCTTCACTACTCGAGTCGCCGAAAAGTTGTCGCCTTCGTTGCGTCTCCAGGTTGCATACTTGGTCGATAGACTTTTCTTTACCGTGTTCGAAAGGAAGCTTTTTGAAATAAGAGCGGAGTAGGCTTCTTCCGCATCGCTCTTGCTAAAATATTCAAACTCCAGAGCGAATTTCGGCATAGTAATGGGCCCAGAGAACAGTCCCAGTGGTGCAACAAGCCACCAAGGGTTTTTTTTATTTCTGAAGACGGTACTTGAGAAAGAAATGTGTAGGGGGCAAGACTCTGAATTTGAGGGAAGACTTTGTGCTGTAGAAGAGAGAGGAGCCCTCAACTCCTGGAGTGTAAGATGATGAGATCATGCGCCAAGCCAAACCAAACGCTCTCCTAGGACTCGAACCCAGGACCTCAAGATTGTGAGAGGGACGCTTTACTACTACGCCAAACGGGATCCCAAGCCCCGGAGAGACGAAAAGAATCAAGGGCGGAACGATTTACGGGAAGAAACCGGGTCGGGATGAAAAAACAAGTCACAAATTGCGGTAAAACCTTAATTAATTGGTCAAAACCGGGTCATTAAATGGTCCAAACCCGGAATGTTGTTGGATATCACGACCTTTGCACATTGTTACGGCGGGATTGTTGAAATCGATCTACGTCAGCTCCTCAAACAACAATCGACAATCCGTCACCATCAGGCCTGGATGTCACAGAGGCGGGTCAAGAGGGCGATCCCTGACATCGATGACGTGGAATGGAACTCGACCTTGGCATATGTCCACGACAGGCACGCAGTCTTCACCTTTTACAGCAACAGCAAGGACTCTCACCAACGCACACATCATATCAAAAAGCTGCATGGAATGCTGCCCACTCTGAACTCCATGCAGGCTCGCAAGCCCAACCTGTACCCAACATGCGTGTGCCGACGATGCGAGCTCGAGAAGGAGGATAACGATCACGTCTGGAAATGCCCTTCGGCAGCTGAGACCACCACTGAGATCTGGAAGGAGGCCATGGGCAAGATTAATGAGTGGGGTGTGCAGGCGACAAACAGCTACAACGCAGCCAGGAAGCGAGAATACAAACGCGCGGTGGACAGAGGTCGTCAGGTACCGAGGCCAGTACCCATACACTGGTGGCCCCCTTCGGATGCGGATCATGTACGAAGATTTTCCTCCATCGGTGGAGCTCGAGCCGTGCACAGCGGTAGTCCAGCTCCCGATCGAGACGAGAAACCGATGTGGAATGTGTCGGATCTCCTCCGCGGCATCACCCCATTGAGCATGTTGACTGAATGGTCCGCGGTCTTCCGGACCCCAATGTCCATCGCTAAGACAGTCCTTCACAAGTTTGTTGGCTACCTGGAGGCGCAGGCCTCGGAGCTGATCTGGAAACCTCGGTGCTCCGAGACGATCGCGTGGGAACAAAGCCAGGGCATCTCTGCCAAGGACAAGACATCCAAGTACACAGGCCCCCGAGGTGACTGGAGTCAAGGATACGGTTACATCACGCACGATGGTTTCTGTCCGTGTGGCGCTTCGCTAGCCACACATTGTGAAGAAAGGTGCCCTGGAGCGACCAAGGACCCACGCGCTGCTGACGAGCGGTTGTTGGAGAGTTTGTTAGGAAGGAGGAGGTTGTCAATGATGGAGAGGATGGGAAGAATCCCCTTCATTCGTATCTAGTTTTATTTTCTTCCGTTTAAGCTGTGAAGAGCAGCGACAATTGTTGCGCAGAGCCAGGTTCTGGACCGGACTGCGACTGGTGGATGGTGCACTGAAGAGTTTGGTCTGTAGTTCCCTTTTACTTCCAAATAACTTCTCTATGCTGTTTGTCAGAGAAATAAAATTGTGTACCCAAAAAAAAAAAAAAAAAAAAATGTGCTTGCCCACCCCTAGGCCAGCTGCTGATCAGTAGGATAAATCGAGCGCACGAATAACAACAACAATGAGCAAAAAACGTTTGGAGAGAGGTTATAAATGGAGACGGGAGATTGTTGTTATGATCACCAGTAAAGCAAAGGTCCAAGATAGGTAAATAATGAATGAGGGTCCATCATTGGCAGCATGCCTATGGGAGGACAAGATGGACAAGCCAAAAAAAAAAAAAAAAAAAAAAAAAAAAGACCCTGTGTGTTAATAGAGGACACACCCTGTGAAAATCAAAAACGCTTTAATTTTCGTATTACTCCGACAGTCCCTGTGAGAATAAGGTCACACAGCCCTGTGTGAATAGATTAATTCTTTTTTATTTTGTTTTGTTTTTACAGCCTTATTCACACTATCGCCCAGCAATGAATCCTGTTCATATTATAGTGTCATAGATATGTTTCTTTTCTTTCTGTGAGTCATCTATCTCTTGCATCTCTTAGTCTCTGCATGCAGCCATTTTTTTTGTTGACTTTATTCTATCCTTATGCACTATCTCACATACTTTTTCGCCTGAGTATCAGATACTACTACTACTTCAAAAAACACAAAAAAGGCATTGAGAGAGAGAGAGAAAAGAAGGGAAAGCAATGAATATTGTAATACATACAATCACCTTCATTTCCATAGGTATAGTATGGGACATGTGTGTATTTTCATCTCCCTCCGCGAGCGAAGCCGCGGGTACTTCTAGTTACACGTACATGAAATAAGAGTTTGTTCTTTTTATGCCATAGGACAACGTTCTTGTCTCGTAACTTGTTTCAAGTGAGTGTAATGCTCTAGCGGTAAAAGTATATGACTGATATGTTTTAATTCGTTTGAAGAAAAGAGACAACTATTGCCTTTATGGGTGTAATTAAAGTGGGTGCTAGGGTCTTAAGCCAGCGCATAACGCTGGGGGAGGGGGTGGAGGAACAGATGAACAGAAAGCAGGAAGGGAAAGAAACATGGGCCAATACAGTATGTTTATGCGCCATTTCAACAATGCCAGCTGCTATCGAGAGCAGCCGGAGGACCCACGTTCTTGTAAGGCGCCAGTTCAAGGCATTCAGCAACGGTCACAAGTTTATACCCTGCAGCCTGAAGCTTCTGGATCACGTATGGGAGCAAATCATGTGCTGTCGTGTCCTTGGTTTCATGATTAAGAGCAAGAATAGTGCTTGGTCGATTGACTATAGCTCTATCGTACAATGCTTTCGATTGGGCAACCGAAGACCCTGTTTAAAGCAATGGCAGGTTAGAGGGAGGGACTTTTACAATGTTTAAACTGCACTCTTTGGCTGGACTAGATTACTCAAACTCACCAGTACTATCTCCCGAGTCGAAATCCCAGTAGACAACTTTGTTTTCCAATGCACCAGCGACTTCGAGAACCAGATTGTTGTATGCTCCATATGGAGGGCGCATGAAAGCTGGGGTGGCACCAGTGATTCTCTTTATCGCTTGCTCCACTGGTGGGGGTAAAAAAAAGTTACTTTAGTATGTAATTGAGGATTGCTTCGACTGCCCTTATTCAGCATTGCTCATCTCTGGCCTTAACTTACCTAGCGACATTTCATTGTTGATCTGGTCTTTACTCAGCGTAGTTAGATCCGAATGGGACCAGGTGTGCGAGGCGATTTGATGACCATTATTATAAGCATTCTTGAGCCTTGCGATGCTGCCTCCACTATAGATGCAGTCGTAGTTATCTCCATTCACAAAGAACGTTCCCTTGGCAGTGGCGTTGTCAATGTTTTGACTATGTCGTTCATGTATATGTATGAGCCATCGTCAAAATGTGAGTGCCACGGTGTTTGGTTTGGTAACAGTGCTCGATTACTTGAGCTAGGGGTGGTGGAATCACATGCGTTTGAAGGAGATGCTGCCAGAAGAAAGTAAGGTAACTGCGATAGCTAAGGGAATGATACGTGACATCATTTGGGGAATAGGTGGGTCTGCTTCGGGATTAAAGAAAAGTTGGAGAATAATGGTAAGATGAACAAGGGGGTACAGAGTCTTATATATGCTCTGTTGCTGTCTTCAGGATGAGAAGGGGCAACAAGTGGTATATGTTGTGTGATGGAGTGATGATACGGCGTGGCTTGACTCTGATGACGGATTCTTGAAAAATCTGAAGGTAATGAGTGTATGCAGGCTTGGTTATGAGAAAGAAGAAATAGAGCAAATCGTACACACACATGGAACGTCAATGAAGAAAAGGATTGGATGGATCACTAACCTTGCTTGCGGGTGGAGGTGGACGAGGAAGATAAAAGCGAGGCAGGGACCATGGTCATCTTTTATATCATCAAAGTGAGATGAAAACAAAATTGAGGGATGATATTGAAATGTATATGGGTTGAAGTCAATGGAAGAAAGAGTCTATTTCTTTATTACACAACATCAGAGGGGATCATATGCTGAGCACAACCACTCTGATGTTGGCGTTTCCACAGTTGTGGATTTGCCAAAGCACGGTGCCACTTCTTCAATTTAATAAAAAGGGGTAACTAAAAATAAACCCGTACCGCAGGCGACAATCGCAATCCTCAGAATTATAATTAGCCTTTCAAAATCTCAATCACTCTTTGGGAGGGGAGGGGAAGGGAGGCATATTGATCTACTAGACGCAGATAGTTGATACGCTTAGAAGCATGATGCGATTGCAAAGGGTCCTATAGTTCAAAAAAAAGAGAATCAGGAGATAATTAAAAGGGGAACATCAGGGACAACTTCAAGGGGTAGCATTAAATAATGGCTTCAAAGGAACAAAACCAAGCGACAACACCATCGGCAATACAGGATAACTTCAAGGGGAAATACCCAGGTTCAAAATCAAAGGCAGCATCAAAAGTACAACGATTATATAACAACAGCCTGCTCTCCATCTAACCACCTCCCCAACTAACCACCTTCCCCAGCTAACCACCTCCCCATCTAACCACCTTTTCATCTAAAACCACCTCACATCTAAACCACCTCACATCTAAACCACCTCACATCTAAACCACCTCACATCTAAACCACCTCACATCTAAACCACCTCACATCTAAACCACCTCACATCTAAACCACATCTTCATCGCCTTCTAAGCCACATCATCATCGTCCTGGATACCATAGACTTTATCAGAGTTTCCCTCTAATATCTGAAACATCACCAATGCCACCAACCTCTCGATCCTTCTAGCGCCACCAAACATCGACAGGTTCCATGCCTGACTAGTGACTAATAGCTGGTTAATTAGACATCACTCTCTCGAAAATACTAGAAGTAACAAGGATCCATCCTGGCTCCCGTAAATATATCAATACCCATAGTCTGTACCTAGCTTAGTCTTCGGTTCATAACTCACTTTTATTAAACACAATGTTCCTAGAAAAGTCTCTCGTTCCCTCATCCTCACTTACTGAAAGATACAGGTTTATATCGTGAGTGCGTATTGAAAGTTTATCCTTTGTATCTCTCAACTAGAATGGTACCCGCGGCTTCGCTCGCGGAGGTGTGAGGCAAGTGTAAATTGACAAAAAAGTGGTGGTGGTTGATTATTGCAAAGTTTATTTGTGATTGTCAGTTCCTCATTTCTCTCTCGCTTTTCTATTTGATTTTTTTTTCTGCCTTCACTTTTTTTTTCGTTTTGCCCTCCCTTCCTTATTTTTTGACGTCATATTTCCACAACTCGTGACGGCGTGCCAGGCCTGACTGATCCAAGCCATGGCCACGGGAAGGAGGTGTGAGACGGGACCCCTGGGAGCCCGAATGCCTATAGTTACACAACTTGGGTCGTATGAATGCCATGAAGTGGCGAACACCGAGCCAGCCCCCCGCATCCCCAACGCGACCTGTCAGGTGTGATTAGTCGAGATCTCGGGTCAAAGATATTATACAGCAGTCTCCTTTCTGTCCTTTAAATGCAATACCATCTTACCATGTAAATGTTGTACAACCTTCTCGTCCGCCTCACTCAGACTTTGTTTGACAAATCGACTCGTTGCCTTGGCGGGCCAAATCCTGTCCCTGTCGGTTTCCCTCCCTTGCTCAAACCCGCCTTCTTCTCGAGCTGTTATTTCTTGGGTCTTCCCCTATTCGACCGTCGCCCTTGCAACGTACGTGCCATATCTCCATCCTTTCAAAGTCTTCTATCGCACTTGCAATACCTTTTTTCTTTTTGCTTCCCTCTGTCAATGCATGTCACGGTTCTTTGAGCTGGTACCAAAGGACGTAAAGGCAATGGCATTGTTGAAGGTCCGGATGGTTGCAAGAAATAGCCCGGAGAAAAAGGTACCACCTCTGAAAGGCTTTGTAATTCATCAAGGGAAGCTTAATGACCGGCGTTTTGACTCTTAGACAGCAGAGAAGCGTAGATTGGCGATTGTACGTCCAACACACTCCTGCGTTTTCAAAAGAAGTGATTAAATCGGGTATCAATAAAAATAAAGGAGGATGTAGAATAGTTGTAGGTAATATCGTAGGAGGCCTTTCAAGTCCAAATTATCATATGGTGTTTGTTACATCTCTGCAGATCTTGACGATATCCACCGCGTCCATTAGAGGAGAATGTATATATGATACCAAGCATATAAGACAACCATTGTAACATTTTTTGTTTAACTATCCTACTAAACACCAACCTATTCTCCAAACAACAAAGTCTTCTTATTTTTCGCACACCAAACTCTTGAATATGTCCATCTACTATTAACCTGTAACCCTCACTGCAAGATTCGACAGAGTAGTTCTTGTATGTGATCATCTAAAGCACTTGTATTCCCAACTGTATCTTTGTCGTGAAATACAGGGGAGAGATTACATTTTAAAAATTCTTGTGCTGTCTATTGCTATTTTATTCTGTGTTCTGTTGCCCACTATGAAGAGATATGCCAGTTATGGAAGTCAACACTCCGTTCCTTGGACTTTGGATATTTTTTATATGCCTTTTTATATCCTCTGCACATGAAGGGGCCGCGTAGACGGTTACCTCTATCCAATGTAAAGCACACAATGAGAGCATACCACGCTCATCGATCCCATGATCATGTACACTGTGTTGTCCTGATTCTTAACAGCTATTCTATTTCCAAAAACACTTAGATCAGCAGGAGCAACAGGAGCAACGGAAGCAGCAAGGATCGTAGAAGGAGTAGGAGCAAGAGATTCTGCAACGATCATGCGCTGTCTGCTCATAAGGCAATCCGGATGAGTTGTAAACAATGGTGATGGAGTTCTCTGCAAGTATTACATATCATAGCAGAGGACTGAGGAGCACCATGCAATGCGATGGCAATAGCTCGCTCATGTTACCTAAATGGGTCGGAATGGTTGGCGCCGGGCTGGAACCATGCGTGGGTGCTACAATCATGCGTAACTGGGACAACCTGTGTCAGCGGGCTTTTCTCCTTCAGCAGGTCGTCGTTGTTGCTTATGTTACCTAAATGGATCATAATAGTAGGCCTTAGGCTGGAAGCATTCTCCCGTTACCAATGCCTCCGCCGCCTGATCGATGACCCATCTTCACTCCCTTCACCCTCCCACTCAACCGTTGTCTGACTTGTAGTCTCGAACTGTTGAACCACGTCAGCAATTGCAGCGTAAGCACCCTCGTCTGAAATAGTATCAAAGCTTGTTTCGCAGTTATCGCTATTATAAATTAGGAGTTGTGCTGCAAAGAGGCGGCAATCCGAGCAATTGTGGTCTGTTTGCCCTAAAATTACTGTTTGTTTTCATTTATAGTAGGGGCAGTAACAGCTTGTCGACCTTTGGAGACCGGTTCCACGTCCACGAAGGAGAGACATCGGGGGTGGAAGGGTAGTAAGAGTGACACGGTGAGAGCGAGTGGAAGGCATACTGGCTACTGACAGATAAAAAAAAAAAAAAAAAAAAAAAAAGAAGGAAAGGAAAGGAAAGGAAAGGAAAGGAAAGAAAATATGCTTGTCCGTGAAAGAGAAAGAAAAGCCATCGGCTCTACTTTCTCCATTCTCCATTTTCGCATTTTAACATGCTTACTGCTTACCGGCAGATCTTCTTACCGGCATGGCTCTCATTCCGCAGTCGCATTTTAACATGCTTACTGGATAGCGTTGCCGAATGTAATGACGGCTAAAGCCTATTATTCGACAACGCCAGGGACTCTAGATGTGTGTATCTTTCTTTTATTATTAGCCGTGACTTCCGAAAAAAAAAAAATTGAAAATGAAAAATGAAAACAAAATAAAGGGGACTCTAGGTGATCTGTTGATCTCTATCTACTTGCTAGAAAAGGGCGGGTCGGGTGGGACATCTAGAGTCCCTGGCGTTGTCGAATAATAGGCTTTAGCCGTCATTACATTCGGCAACGCTATCCATTATTCTTCCTTACCAGGGACTCTATCTGTGGGTTCAGAGTTGAGGAAATATGGCTGCGGCGAAGTTGCTTGTTAGAGATCGCGAGATCCTGTAGCACGCTTCAACAATGGCTGGGGATGACCGACGGCCGTGTGTGTCAACGTCGTCCGGCGGGATCCCCTTCTTTAGCGCGGCGGTAGTGCTCAAACATCCGGGTGCTCCCTTCTCTACTGCTTGTTGCCGTCGACGTTCCAGGCCGAGAGCGACCACATTGGATTCCTCTCGAGGATGTGTGGACTGTTCCCCGGAGCTGGTAAGACTTGGTTCCTCGGGATCCGTAGAGGCTTGTCGACCGACATGGCTGTGATCATAGGATACCAGAGCGCGCTCGTCCAGAATGGAGTGATGACCGTTGCCTTGACCTTGTCCTGCTTGATCTTCTGGAGGACCTTGGTGATTAGCGACCACGGTGGACACGCATAGACTCTGTTCATGTTGGACCAGCTGCTGTTGAACGCATCCTGGCCCCAGGCGGTTTCCTCCCGCTTCCATGAGATGTATCGAGGAACTTTGGCGTTCGTTGCTGTTGCGAATAGGTCGATGTGGTGGTGACCCCATGTCGACTCGAGGGTTTGGAAGAATGACTTGTCGATCGACCACTCCAGCTGCGTTGTCATCCTCCTGGACGGTGCATCTGCTGGATTGAACTGTGAGGGAACGTATGTCGTCTTGAGTCGTGTGCCCGTTGCCATGCAGTGGTTCCATATCCTGGTCGTCAGGTCGAGTAGTGGTCGAGACCTCGTCCCGCCGAATTTGTTGATCTGGGCAATGGTTGTCATGTTGTCGCAAATAACATGAATGGTCTTCCCGATTGTTTCTGAAAGGTGGACCAAGTGCCAGATGACCCGCAGCTCCTTCCAATTGATGTGGTGTGGTTGTTCCAATGCGCTCCATGTCCTGGACATCTCC